GAGAGACGGAAAGCGAGAAATCACACCCCAGGAGGGATGGCCACGCCACAATCCCTTCTCCTCCATTCTCCTCTCGAGATCTTGAACACGCACACACACGCGCCCGGTGTGAGTTTAAGCCACTGAGTCAAGGACTCCCACTGCGGTCGACTACATGGGAGTGAAGCGACATACCCATTATGCTAACTGCTGGTCCCATTCTGACTACTCTCAATAGCAAGTTCAGCTGCATATACATATCTGTGAATACACATTGACTTTAGGCATGAAACTGTGAGTAGAATGAATATACTGAAAAGTAGCACCTAGCTGAGGTTATATAGTTTACTGTGATTATTAAATGTTTTTTAAATATATTTTTTAATTTTAAGAAAGCTTGAGCTTTAATCAATTAAAATCAAAACATGTTAAGACAACTTTGCTTCAGACTTAAAGGCAGGAAACAGGTTAGGATCCGGTTCATATAGGAGGTACGTGGATGTGTCGACAACTCAAGAGAACCCAAAATCCTCAACTGTGGAAAATAAAGCAGAGACGATTCATAATGATTTAGTCGACAGTCCTAAAATTCTTTTACACCAGTTGAGACTCATGTACTTTATCTTCTGTGGTGGTCTAATCTTTCCATTAAAATTCTGGAAGATAACGTTCAACTCTGGCCTTGTCAACCCTACCATTAAGCTGGATGTTTTCTTAGTTGTTTTTGAACTCTTATTTCTGTGTGTCTGACTTTAGTTTTCCTGATCTAGCACTCCCTTCAGAACTTCTTGGAGAACTGGTCTGGTGTTGGTAAATTCTTTCCGATTTTGTTTATCTGAGAATGTTCTTGTCTTCTCTTCCCCTCTGAAGGATAATCTTGCCGGATATAGTATTCTTAGTTTAAATTTGTTTTCACTCAATACTTTGAGTACATTTTCCCATTCTTTCCTTGCTCGCATTGATGCCAATGAGAGGTTCACTGATACAGTGATGGGCTATCCTTTGTAGACAACTTGAAGTTTCCCTCTTGCCAGTCTGAGTAGCTTGTCTTTGTCCTTAGTTTTTGTCAATCTTGCTGTGATGTGTTTTGGAGAAGATTTTCTTGGGTTGATTATGATTGGGGTCCTTTGTATTTCTTGGGTCTGGATCTCGAATGCCTCTCTAGGTTTGGAACGTTTTCTTCCAGGATTTCATGGAATAGATGATCAATGCTCTTACTAGTCTCTTCACCTTCTGGGATAGTGATTATCCAGAGGTTTGGACATTTAATGTATCTAGTATTTCTCGTATATTATTCTCTGTTTGTAGGCTATTTTTTTAGTCTTCACGATGGATTTTTCTAGCCCAGTGATTTTGTCTTCGACATCTGAGATTGAACTTTCTGTATGATCCAGTCTGCTTTTAATACTTTTAAGGGAGGTTTTGACATCCTGTATTATATATAGCCTTCATCTCCAACAGTTCCATTTGATTCTTTTTAATGGTGCATATTTCCTCTTTCAGGTCTCACAAGAACTTCCTCACCTCCTGAAACTCATCACCTCTTTTCTCCTGCCTCTTCTGGAATTCACCGTCTCTCTTTCCTTCTAGCTCTGCTAGCTCTGTCACTATAAATATTCTAAATTCTTTGTCCGATCTTTCTGTGAGTTCCATTGTACGGTCTGTGGATAAACAGGAGTTATTCTTTTCCCTTGGGGGAGAGGTATGTTCTTGGTTTCTCACATTTCTTGTGCCTCTGCAGTGAATTCTAAACATCTGATGGGTTATTCCATTCTCCTGATTTCTAGAAGTTTTTTTTTTTTTTTGGAGAGGTTTTTTCGCTATAGGGC